CACGCAGTATTTTATATGTCGTTATCATGTCTCCCCTGACCCTCCTGTCCTCCAGTGTCGTCAGGCCGATTTCCCTTAATCTTTCTTCATAGGACATTCCCCTTAGCTCTGGAACTAACCTTGTCGCAAACCTTTGTACTTTCTCTAGTTTCTTGACGTGCTTTATCAAGTGCGGGTTCCAAACAGTGCTGCATACTCCAGTATGGGCCTGACATACACGGTGTACAGTGTCTTGAATGATTCCTTACTAAGGTGTCGGAATGCTGTTCTCAGGTTTGCCAGGCGCCCATATGCTGCAGCAGTTATCTGATTGATGTGTGCTTCCGGAGACATGCTCGGTGTTATACTCACCCCAAGATCTTTCTCCTTGAGTGAGGTTTGCAGTCTTTGGCCACCTAGCCTATACTCTGTCTTGGTCTTCTGTGCCCTTCCCCTATCTTCATGACTTTGCATTTGGCAGGATTAAATTCGAGAAGCCATTTGCTGGACCAGGTGTCCAGTCTGTCCAGGTCTCTTTGAAGTCCTGCCTGGTCCTCATCAGATTTAATTCTCCTCATTAACTTCACATCATCTGCAAACAGGGAGACTTCTGAGTCTAACCCTTCCGTCATGTCGTTCACATATACCAAAAATAGCACTGGTCCTAGGACCGACCCCTGTGCGACCCCGCTCGTCACAGGTGCCCACTGTGATACATCATTACGTACAATGACTCGTTGTTGTCTCCCTGTCAGGTATTCTCTGACCCATTGCAGTGCCCTTCCTGTTATATGCCCCTGATGCTCTAGCTTCTGCACTAATCTCTTGTGAGGAACTGTGAAAGGCCTTCTTGCAGTCCAAGAAGATGCAATCAACCCCCCCTCTTTTCTCGTGTTTTTCTTCGTTTTTTTCATAAAACTCCAAAAGGGTTTGTGACGAGGGTTTGCCTTCCTGAATCCGTGCTGGTTGACATTTTTTATCTTGTTCCGTTCCAGGTGCTCCCCCCCACTTCCTCCCGATTCTTCTCCCTAATTTTTTATACTAACCTCAATGACCAGGTCTATTTTAGTTTCCCCTTTTCTGTCTCCTTTTTTAAATGGGAACTCATTTGCCCTTTCCTACCTCAGGCTTTTGTTTGTGTGGTGTGTGTGTGTGTTGTGTGTGTGTGTGTGTTGTTGTGTGGTGTGTGTGTGTGTGGTGTGTGTGTTGTTTGTGTTGTTATGCTAATCATTTTCAAATCTTGAAATTTGTTTTATACCCAAAAACTTTATTTTTTTCCAAAAATCCCTTTTTCAGGTAATTACAAAGACTCTGGAGTCCCCGGTTACCTCATCTGTCGCCGCCTTTTTTTCATTATTTTTTTACATAGTAATTGAAATATTAATTCTAGGCAATTTTTTTTATAAAATCTGTCAGTTTTGGTAAATAATTATTTCTTTCAGAAAAATTTTAAATTTCAAAAACATTTTTCCCAATGATGATTTTTATTATTTTTCCCAAATTTAATGACAAGTTTTTTGAAAGTAAGATAAATACGCAAATGTTGGTTCTTTTTTCTTCTGTAAGGGAGAAACGTTCTTCTATAAGGGAGAAACGTTTTCTTTCTGCTGATACTATGTTAAATTTTCCTCTTAATAGATGTATAATACAGTCTTTACACCCGAAATTCCAGCAGGTTATCTGCCTGCCAATGTAAGCCGTTTAAATGCAACTTTTCTAAGTATTTTAAAATGTCGAGGATGTTATTTTTGCTAACATTTAGTTACAGCTTCAGGTTGTCCAAACAAATGTTTGTCCAACCCGTGAAACACTTGATTATCTCTATCACGCAAGTGTTGCATATACATCATATTCATTAACATGTAAGTGTTGCATATCATTATTAATATGATTTTTATCTACAATTGCCGAGACGAAAACTGTTAAGTAATGCAGCAAGCATGACCAGGTATCAACTGGAATAATTTAATGTAAGATAAAGAAATTATGTATATGTGTCATGGGAAAATGAGAAAGTGGATTTGTAAATATAAATAATAAACGTGATTTGAGTGTCAGAATCTGTCTAAATGCCAATAATAATGATATACTACAGGCGGGTAGTTATAAGTGTTTAAATATATTTAAGCTAGGGGGAATTATGATAAATTATGATAAATGTTTTAATATTTAGGGATGAGCAGGAGGGAGTTTGAGCTCGAGTCTGAAGTAAATAAACGCCTGAAAAAACACTAAATTAATAAGGACAAACATTAGTAACTCCTGAAGTCGACGTTTTCAAAACAGTTACGAAAATATACCATGATTCAGTGTAACAATTTCAACAAGTAAACTACTGATAAATTGTTTAATACAAACATTTACTGCATTTATAAACACACATCGAGTAACATTTCAGAGTCGTGAGTTGTGATTGCTGATGTGAGGTTCGATTTTATTAGTTTATGTCAATGCTGATTTGCTGTGTCAGTTTTCCGGTTAATACAAGTCTGAGGGTGAGTGAAAAGAAGAGTTGAATTAACTTGTTTGCTTCATGTAGAGGGCGATTGGTTGGTGATGACAATGATTGGTTGGTGTTAACGACGATTGTGGGTGCTGTTGATGACTGTGGATGCTGATGATGATTGTGGATGTCAGGTTGTAGGTGATAACAGTGATTACAGGTGCTGATTTTGGTTGTTTAGTGGTACTGATGAAAGCTGCTGGTGCTGACGTTGATTCGTCTGTGGTGCTGACGATGGTTGTTCAGCGGTAATGGCGTAAGTTGATTAGAAAAGCGCTCATCAGCCGCTTTTTTTTCAGTGTAGGTTACCCTTAGGGAACTCATGAACTGGCGCAGTCCACTGGAAAACCTAACTCATCATCTTTTAATAATTGCACCAGAGAATAATTATGTTATACTTTAATTCTGAATATTATTTATCACGAATCATTATCTACCATGTGTATCAAAAAAAATGTATTATAGCACAACGAAGTATTGGTTTGGAAAGGGAGTGGCAGATAACTTGTACTATGGGAATATTATACTCTCAGCACTGAGTCACGAGAGTAAAATAACCACCCATCAATCCGCCGAATCTCCAGCTTCAGGAGTGTTGTTATCGTAGCAACGCTGACAGATTTTGAAACCCGAATTATCGTATTAACGCAGGAGAGAAGGACGAATGAAGGAAGCATGTAGCACGTCCGTCGTATCACTGTACTGAGTCTCGTCACCCCTGGGACCTCCAGGTTGGGCCAAGTCACCACTGGCCCTAGCCTGAGTCACCCCGGGTTAAAAAGCTGAGATATAGGATCTTGCAGTCTCGTAATAAGTGTAAAAATATTTAGAACTCTATACATCATCAATACTCCCTGTGTTTTACACTGTCACCACTGTATCACCACCACTACACCTTTATCAATACACCTTTACAACTACACCATCATAACTACACTCTCACCAATATAACTTCACCGCTACATCTTCTCCCCCACACCTATACCTCTGTTCTCTTATTACTACCATTTCACTATTGCACCTTCTCCACTAAACTCATCAGCCTTCTACCCTCATCAATACCCTCTCAACAATACACCATAACCATTACACTAAAAAAACCCCCACCATTACACTCGTCACATTGCTCCCTCACTACTACATCCTCACCACTACACTCACCACACCGATACATCAATCATCACCATAAGTGTACTGTAATATATAATTTTAATTAAGAGTCCTCACAATAAATCAAATCCTCTGGTCTACGCAGAAAATGTCAACACTCGAAAAATACATAATCATAAAAAAGTAGGTCACCATAAATAAAAAAAGTCAAATCAGGACCTGTTTACGTGTGAACCTAGAATTACCGGCTATAAATTTGAGCTAAATCGGATTATTGCGAAATTGTAAGCACGTAAAAGTGTTTAGGCAAATTGAATTTTATTTCGTCCACTTGAATATTAAACCACTCGGCACCAACAGCATGTTGCAAAAATAACAAAATTAACATTCAACAATGCAACATTTTGGGGCATTAATGTCAGTGATAATATTGTTATCAGCTTCAATATGTGCATAGCATGTTTTCATTATATTCAGCTATACACTAACCTAAAAACTCACATGTAAACTTACAATTGAAAATGTTTTATAGTTAACATATATATATAGTCTGGTAAAGTATCGTCTTCCCTTGCCAGCAGACAATCACACAAGATCCTCTTATTGAACGGAGGTTCCTACTCCTCCTGGATAATAGTGAGCTTCTCTTACTACGAACTGACGGAGTTATTATTATTATACTTATACGTAAGATAGGCTGGTAGCGCTATAAGAGTGATCATTATCATATATAATGTAGGTTTCTGGCACTCAGGGTGAACAGGGTAGTTATAATCCTTCATAAAAGAAGTTTGATTTATTCCTAATCTTCTGTACGAAAACCTGTCTCACTTTCACTTACCATGGATTCTTTTAATATTAAGTGTAATGTTACTTGTGCTGTCACCTACCAAAGAAAGTTTATCTTATTTTTTCTCCCACCTACGAAGCAACATTTTATTATGGTCTGTCTTGCTTAAGATCGCCTTTCTTATTTATATTGGTCTATTTTTTACAATGGTCTATTTTATTTAGGAAGCCCACTCATTTTTACGAACGCTATTTTACTTACGAATGTCTGTCTTGCGTATAAAGTTCTGTCTTACTTGCTTAAGTTTGTTTTACTTTTATTCTTACACACGAAGGTTTATTTTACTAATACTAGCAGCTGAAGAGACACTTCTTGCCCACATTCAGGAGACAATGGCTTTCTTGTCGGTGATTTTTATCCTGCATCAGCTGTCTCCTACCAATGTAGTGTGCAGAATTACACTAGAAATCACCCTCGGAGCTGTCACATTTCCACAATGATATTGTGGTCATATCCCCTATGTTACCTGCTTTTGTATCCTTGATTCACACATCTAAATAATACACAATAGTCCTCAATCTTCATTCAGGTAGATAGCTTCGGTGAGGACTTTTATACCTTCTGATATCTGTCTTTTCCATGTACTCCCATGAACTATACTGTACTCACACTTAACGGAGACTTCAACGCGGGCGGACACTGCCGGAGGCACCCCATTGGAGGCTACACACAGGAAAGCTCCGCTGTCCTCCCTACTGACGGAGGCCAACTGGAGACGTGGCCCGCCTGCCTCCCGCACTGTTGGAGATGAAACGTTGGAGTTAAGACGTTGACGAACAAAATATTGAGGAAGAAGCAGTGTTGGTGAGTGAGCAATGCATGCATTGAGGAATATTTAAATCAAGAATTGCAAGACTCTAGCTGTTATAGTTCACAACTCATCAACAAACAAGAGACGACGTTGTTTGGGATCATCCGGGTCCAAAACAGACCGAAAACCAGTCTAGTTTTATCTCCACTTTGTGAAATAGTTGAAAATGGAAAGTTTAGTAATAAGAAACCGGGGTCTAAGCAAATGTCGTGTAGGGTCGACATAGCCTCAAACCTTTCAAAATCCTTCTTTTGGACACAATCTGGCCACAGTTTTCTCCACGCAGAGTTCACCGTCCTGGAAGTCCCTTCCTGCCAAGCCTTATTTATAACGCATATGAAGTGGAAGATATTAAAGTGATTCTTCCAGAACTGTCCCTTAGTACCTAGAGTAATGGTGCTAGAATGTTGAGAGCGGACACTAATGGAGCAACTAGTGTTGACAAAATATTATTATGGAGCTATATGCGCCGTGAACACACTGTTATGGAGCTAGAAGTGCTGTGAACGCACTATAATGGAGCTAGGGGAGAGGTTCTTGGGGGAAGTAGAGAAGATGAAATAAGACGAATTTGTTGTACACAAGTGATCGAGAAATCTACGACTAATTCATTAGCGGGAACAAGCGAGAACAGAAATGTCGATAATCTCTTATTTCGTTACCTTATTACTAGAACATGATTAACTCTGAATTTATTTATGTTTGGAAGGGTAACTGTAAATAAAATTCAGCTATTTTTTGGTAATTATCTACGTAATTGGTAGTCTGGGTGGGAGGTAACAGCAGATCTGGCTGGCTTGATCCGCCCTCAATGACAGGAGAGTACCAAGTCACTCACTTGATCCACTCTCAAGACAGGAGAGTACCAAGTCACTCACGACAGGAGAGTACCAAGTCACTCACGACAGGAGAGTACCAAGTCACTCACGACAGGAGAGTACCAAGTCACTCACACTATTTAGTTAGGATTTAATATTTGGTTTGATCTTTTGCGATGTCATTTAATCTTGTTTATGAATGTGTTTATTATATATAAATTAATTTATTTTACCATTTTGTATAGTTCAAATAATTTTTATTTTTATATTTATTAAAAGAAGGACTTAATCAGGCCAACGGGGCTCATTACCATAAAGATTGATCTCGTAATTTACCCTGCCCACTCCCCTGGATGCAGCCCATAACTGTCGATTAACAAAAAGGCATTTATTTACTTCTAAATGAATAAGGTCAGCATGAAATCAAACCCGTATCTATAAAGCTGCTAGCCGAGAATTATGCACTGATCTACAGTTACTCTGAGCATTATGCACTGATCTACAGTTACTCTGAGCATTATGCACTGATCTACAGTTACTCTGAGCATTATACACTGATCTACAGTTACTCTGAGCATTATACACTGATCTACAGTTACTCTGAGCATTATGCACTGATCTACAGTTACTCTGAGCATTATGCACTGATCTACAGTTACTCTGAGCATTGTACACTGATCTACAGTTACTCTGAGCATTATGCACTGATCTACAGTTACTCTGAGCATTATGCACTGATCTATAGTTACTCTGAGCATTATACACTGATCTACAGTTACTCTGAGCATTGTACACTGATCTACAGTTACTCTGAGCATTATGCACTGATCTACAGTTACTCTGAGCATTGTACACTGATCTACAGTTACTCTGAGCATTATGCACTGATCTACAGTTACTCTGAGCATTATGCACTGATCTACAGTTACTCTGAGCATTATACACTGATCTACAGTTACTCTGAGCATTATGCACTGATCTACAGTTACTCTGAGCATTGTACACTGATCTACAGTTACTCTGAGCATTATACACTGATCTACAGTTACTCTGAGCATTATGCACTGATCTACAGTTACTCTGAGCATTATACACTGATCTACAGTTACTCTGAGCATTATGCACTGATCTACAGTTACTCTGAGCATTATGCACTGATCTACAGTTACTCTGAGCATTATCACTGATCTACAGTTACTCTGAGCATTATACACTGATCTACAGTTACTCTGAGCATTATGCACACTGATCTACAGTTACTCTCAGCATTATACACTGATCTACAGTTACTCTGAGCATTATACACTGATCTACAGTTAATCTGAGCATTATACACTGATCTACAGTTACTCTGAGCATTATGCACTGATCTACAGTTACTCTGAGCATTATACACTGATCTACAGTTACTCTGAGCATTATGACACTGATCTACAGTTACTCTGAGCATTATACACTGATCTACAGTTACTCTGAGCATTATGCACACTGATCTACAGTTACTCTCAGCATTATACACTGATCTACAGTTACTCTGAGCATTATACACTGATCTACAGTTACTCTGAGCATTATACACTGATCTACAGCTACTCTGAGCATTATACAGTGATCTACAGTTACTCTGGCACATCTCTAAACTAATAAATTACAGTTACTTGAGTATTATACCTGATCTACGAGTTATCTGAGCATTTTGCACTGATTAACGTTACTTGAGATTATGACAGTACTTCGTTATCTGTTGAGATTATGCACTGATTACTGTTACCTGAGCATATCATGATCTACAGTTACTCTGAGATTCACCTCTGATTTGCAGCTACTCATGATGCACATATACAGTGCATCTACGTTACTCTGGCACACTCAGATTTCTAACCTAAATAAAATAATGATTTGATATGATGTATCCGTCTTAATGTGTGATAGTCACATTTATGTTACCTAACGTTTGGAAGCCTATGAAGTTACTTGTTCAATATGTTGAATGCATGTTGCACCTCATGATGTTGCACCTCATGATGTTGCACCTCATGATGTTGCACCTCATGATGTTGCACCTCATGATGTTGCACCTCATGATGTTGCACCTCATGATGTTGCACATCATGATGTTGCACCTCATATGTTGCACCTCATGAGTTTGCACATCGTGATGTTGCACCTCATGATGTTGCACCTCATGATGTTGCACCTCATGATGTTGCACCTCATGATGTTGCACTCATGATGTTGCACCTCATGAGTTGCACCTCATGAGTTGCACCATCATGACGTTGCACCCATGACGTTGCACCCATGATGTTGCACCTCATGATGTTGCACCTCATCATGTTGCACCTCATGATGTTGCACATCATGACGTTGCACCTCATGACGTTGCACCTCATGATGTTGCACATCATGATGTTGCACCTCATGATGTTGCACCTCATGATGTTGCACCTCATGATGTTGCACCTCATGATGTTGCACCTCATGCGTTGCACCTATGACGTTGCACCTCATGATGTTGCACCTCATGATGTTGCACCTCATGATGTTGCACCTCATGATGTTGCACCTCATGATGTTGCACCTCATGATGTTGCACCTCATGATGTTGCACCTCATGATGTTGCACCTCATGATGTTGCACCTCCATGATGTTGCACCTCATGATGTTGCACCTCATGATGTTGCACCTCATGATGTTGCACCTCATGATGTTGCACTCATGATGTTGCACCTCATGATGTTGCACCTCATTATGTTGCACCATCATGATGTTGCACCTCAGGATGTTGCACCTCATGATGTTGCACCTCATGACGTTGCACCTCATGTTGTAAATAATATTCAGTACATTTGCACACATTATACAATATGTGTAAATGTATGGAATTTTGAGGGGCTGTCTTTTTTTTCAAGGAATTTTTTATGATTAAGCTGGTTTAAAATTTACGTTTAAGTTAAATATTTTTATAGATTTTTAGTAAGAGAAAGAATATCGCTGTATGGAAGATTCAGTTGATTTGCATGTACAGCATTAGTCGCGGCATTATGCCGGGTGAGCCCCCCGGCATAATGCCGTGACTAGCACTGTAGGTACTCAGATCACTTCGATAGAATTTCTTAAATGAATGTTCATCAGATTAATTCATGAAATCTTTTTAATATTTCAGAATTAGCAGCAGTTTCATAAAATTCCTCCATTTATCCTGAGAATTTTGCAAAACGATTGTGAAAAAACAATCCGAGGGTATTGTAGTTTAGTCTAGAATTCTCATAAACTATTTTATATTTACGGATCTGGATGTTCCCAAAAATTATGATACTATACGATAAACTTTTAAGATTTGTAGTAAAATTTATTTAGCAGCTAAATCACGAAATCGTAATGACACGATTGCAAACAAACTATACAACGGGAGGGGTTAGAACCCGCGATCAGAGAGTCACAAAACCCCAGACCGTCACGTTAGCCACTGGGCCAGATAATTCAATCAGTGTCGGTAAAAAATTCCTCTACAGTGTAACTAACAGGTAACAAGCAAAGTACATCCTTGTCTTACATCAGTCGTGAACTTTACTTGTCATCTGTACGCAAATGAATAGAGAAACTTTTACCTAAAATGAATGATTTAAATATAATTGCTCTTTCCATTGTAGTGGATTCGACCATTTTGTCTCTCATAGCTGCAATATATATGATGAACCATTTTAGCTCTGAGCCAGTCAATACTGTCATACATGCTGAAATGTAAAAGCATTAGTGTGAGTATAACTCAAAATTTTGTTGCATTTAGTGAGCCTAGTCTTTTAATCTCTGTCTAGCTGACTTATATATCCCAATTAAAAATATTTGCAAGGGATTTTATGGTATATTTGCTTTTTTGAAAAATATTCACGTTGCTGTATATATATATATATATAATATATATATATATATATATATATATATATATATATATATATATATATATATATATTATATATATGTTATATATATATATATATTATATTATATATATACACATATAAATGTGTGTATGAGTGTGTGTGTTAATATGGTTTTCTTAGAGTCAGGTCCTTTTAAACTCGACAGTTTCTTACCCTGCAAAGGG